TCTTTAGTACTTTAGAGCTATCTCTAACCACAGACTTTCCCATCGCAATATATCTCTTAATTTCCTGGCTGCTGGTGCCAAGAGTATTGGTTGTAGAGCCAAGCAAACTAAAACTGTGAAAAATCTCAATCTCTTCACCATCCATCATGATGCTTCCAATCAGCCTAGTGGTGAGAATCTTTGTTTTCTTGATATTGAACCTCAGTCCGTTCTGAAGACTGAAGTCCCTGACCTTCACAGCAAGCGCTTCATGTCCTCCTCAGTTTCAGCAAGCAGGGCTGTGTCATCTGCATAACACAGATTGTTGAGGAGTCTGCCTCCAATCCTCATGCTACGTTTCTCCTCATTAGAACCCAACCTCCCAGATAATCTGTTCTGCATAAAGATTGAAAAGGTATGGAAACAGGATACAGCCCTGGCATACACCCTTCCCAATTTGAAACCAGTGTTTCCTTGCTCTATTCTGACCACTACCTTCTGGTCCAAGTATAAGTTTTGAATTACCACGATCAAGTGTTCTGGAATTCCCATTCTTCTCAGAGTCAGCCACAGTTTGTTGTGATCCACACAGTCAAAAGCCTTTGCATAGTCAATGAAACACAGATATACATTCCTCTGGTATTCCTAGCTTTCATCCAAAATCCATATAATATTAGCTACAATACTGCTAGTACCACGACTCCTTCTAAACCCAGCCTGGACATCTGGCAGTTCTCAGCTGATGTGCTGTTCCAGTTGTTTTTGGATAATCTTCAGTAGAATCTTGCTTGCATGTGAAATCAATGAGATTGTTCTATAGTTTCCACACTCTGCTGGGTCACCCTTCTTTGGGATGGGAACAAATATAGACCCCTTCCAATCAGTTGGCCAATTGGTTATTTTCCAGATTTCTTGGCACAACTTGGTAAGCACGTCCAGGGCAGCATCTGTTAGCTCAAATATATCAATTGATATACCATCTATTCCTGGGGCCTTGTTTTTGCTATTTCCTATAAAGCATCTTGAACTTCTTCCATCATCACCATAGGCTCTTGTTCATATGTTGTTTCATTAAATTCTTCTGTGCCTGCCAATTCCTTTCAATACAGTGACTCAGTATATTCTCTCCACCTTCTTTTAATACTTCCTGGATCATTTAATATTCTTTCTAAAGCATCCTTGATTATATCAACTCGAGGTTTGAATTTGTTCTTTGTTCCTTGAGCTTAAGAAATGCTGAATGAGTTCAGCCCTTTTGATTTTCCGACTCCAGCTCCTTGCACATTTCATTGTAATATTTTACTTTGTCATCCCGTGCTGCCTTTTGGAATCTTCTGTTCAGCTCTTTAGTATCTTGAATTCTTCCTTGTGCTTTGGCTTCTCTGCGGTCCAGTGGTCATGAGTGATGCTACTGTCATTACAGTCACTCGCTGATAGGGTGATTGTTGTAGCTTTAGCTTGTTTACAGATAAAGAGAACCCAGAATGATTGTTGTCATAAAGCTGTTTTAATTGGTTGTTTGGCTGTGTCAGAAGCTGGCAGCCAGGCATGCTCCAAGTGGCATCACCATGTTGTTTCAAATACTGGAAAACATGTTGTGATCAGCACTTATGTGGTCTTGATGGGTGTTTGTCATTTGCATTTTCCTCCCTTGTAGTTGGAAGGACACAATATCTTCTCTGCCCTGAGCTCCAGCGAATACGAACAGGTGCTTGAGATCATCCGCAAAGCCATCATTGCGACAGACCTCGCTCTGTACTTCGGAAACAGAAAGCAGTTGGAAGAGATGCACCAGTCCGGATCGCTGAACCTCAATAACCAGTCGCATAGGTAAGGATCCTCCTGGACAGTGAGCTGTGAGTCAGCTCTGACCTGATGGTACATAACAGTAATATGCCTGCTGGTTTTTATTGTTAAACTTCTTTATGTTTTTAGTGATTGCCTGGGATTTACAGAATGGATTTATACATACCCACATTAAATTGATATTATGTCATTTCTGTAAAATGTAAAAACTTTAAAAATCAATACAATTCCATTTATAACCCTTCCCGTCCTTTATATGCTTGTTATATGTTATACTTTTTTACATGCTATGTATTCCATCATGCTGTTGTTGTTGTGATTATGTGCCGTCGACTCATCTGCGACTTGTAGAGATCCTATGTACAACAGCCCTAAACCCTTCTCTATCCCTTGTCAATCTCACTGTCTCTGACACAGCTGCCCCCTTTACCCCAGTCACTGAATCAATCCATTTCATCGATGGTCTTCCTCTCCTGCACTGTCCCTCCACCGTCCCAAGCACGACATCCCTCTCCAAGGACTGATGCCGCCATCATAGGTCGCTAATATAGAAAGTTAAATAGTCAGTAGAATGCTGAAGGACTTAAGAAAATAAGGCCCCACGTTTATCCACGTGGCCCCATTTCTGTGTCTTTGTTTGCTCTGGTAGACCCAGGTTTGTGTCCTGTTCACTGTAGCTGGACAGACTGCCGTCAGAGTTTCTGAACACATGTGGATAGATTCTTGTAGCTCTGCCAATCTGAAAAGATCTTTAGTTGACCCTCCTTTTTCAAAGATGTTTTCTTCGAGATTTTTGTTTTAAATTGACAGGGTTTCTTTAAGCTTTACATTTTTGTTTTATTGCTTTTTTCACTTCATTTATGTTTTTCCTAACGAAAATCACCTGTGATTGTATTGTTACTCTTGTGTATACTCTGGCTCTATTTAAGTGCCTAAATATGGTTTTTAAAACCTTTGTCCTGCTAAAGGTGCTCTAACTAGTTAATTCCTAACTCTTACATGATACTTACTTCAGTGGCACTTAAAAGAATGTCAGCTACTGTTTCTTTAGATATTTTTCTGCCCCATTCCCTGCCTCTTCTTCAACTACACCACTTACATATTAGACCACCTGACGTTCTATTACCAGTCATTAGTCACTAGAGACTTTTCTTTTGAAATAGTTTTCCCTTCTGCATCACAGCATGGTTAATTTATACTTATATGACCTCTTTTTTTT